ATATTACTCGATCTATCATATCTGGAGTGATTTTGTGAATCAACCAGATCAGGATATGCGCGTGAGGCAATCCTCTCTTCTGCCACTCAATCGAATACATCCAGCATCTCGTCTCCCCAAACACGAAATGCTTGACGATGAAATCCATTAAGGATTTCAATTTCTGCTTGAAAACACGCGCGATTATATCATGTCGATCCGCAGCCGTTTGTCCCTGCAGCAAATTTGCCTTGATTTCTTCCCAAGCAGGATTGCATGTGATCGTGATGAACAAATCAGGGCGACCATACACACGAACGTATGTCATCGCATCCTGCGCGTATTCATGCATATGGCGAGGACTTCCCGTGAAAGTCGCCGGAAGAATGACTGGGCATCCGAGTTGATTGGGGTTCACACTCCCGTCAGAAACTACCGCATCACGAAGATGGACGTACTCTTCAGATCGTAACTTAGTCTGATTCAACCGAATGAATAGTAGGCGTTCGCTTTCAATCTTGGCATACATATCAACAACATATTGATGAAATAATTGCCTACACTTCAATATATGATTGTCCTCGTTCTGACGAATCATCAATCGATATGAATAGTAATTCATAGCACTGACCTTCTTGTCAGACTCATCACCCGTCACCGCGTTTCTCATTTTGATGTTAAAGTGATATCCATCATCCCCTTGCCAAAATATGATCGGGTACTGTAAAGCGTCGTAGGAACGATGTGTTTCAGAGACTCTTTGGAGGTCACCATTCCTGCGATGAAGAATTATGTCACGGGACTTAAATTCCTCTCCAGCTATCACGATTGCTACTTCATTGATTGTGGGAGCATTGTATCGCTTTTCGTGTTCCCCCGCCGGCGTCTTGTCCGCTCTTATGACAACCACATAATCATCAGCTGGCATGCGTTCCAGAGCGATCGTGAACAGCTTCACCATCCTGTTGTACTGATGGAAGAGCTTTTGTAAAGAACCAACGATTTCCCTATCTGTACCAGAATGGATACTGCATCGTCGATCGACCTGTTCCTCGGCGTTTCCCATAAAATAAATTTGGAGAAACTCATGATCGGCATCCAGCAATGGCAAAAGAGACCCATGACGATGATACACCTGACCTTGGATTTTGAAGGTCGGCATGTAGGACCCACGTATGATTTCAGTCGCACCAAATGATGTCATTTGAAAACATGAATTGTACATGCGAATATTGGACTAAAAAATGCTGCGATTTCTTCGTTTGTCCGCTCATCAGAGTTGACAACGGCTCAGGTGGTGGGTGTAAATCGAGTAGTTTGACCTTGCCCCCGGCACAGCACATTCCTGGTACTTTCGTTTGCGTAATTTCAATGCACGACAAAACTTACATACGCTTGTCATCTCACCGATTTCAAGGCCAGCATATGTGATATAATCATGAAAAGGATCATACTCAAATGCTGCGCAATTCAATTCCTGCCGTGCCTGCTCTCTAGAACGACGACTCCGCAGCCTTTTCTGTAGCAATCTAGCCGACCTCTCATCCTCAGTTTCACCGGAGCGCACATGTGAAGAGCGCAGTCGGTTTTGTTCTAGTCTCACCATACTTTGTTCTGGCGATTCCAGAGACCGAGAAAGAGAGTGATGGATACGATCACTTTCCATCCTAGAGTTTCGCCGATCCTCAGTTCCATTCAACCGTGCTATCGAATGCCTCCGTCTATCCTGTTCTAATCGCTATCTTTTTCTGATGATCCGATTCAGAAGCTATTGATAATTTGCGTTTCGTAGCTCGTCGACTCAAGCGTCCCAGTGAACTCCGTTTGGGAGGCATACTCTCGCCCCTCACGACCGACGACAACAAACTCGACTTCGTTATCGTCCCCTCAAAATGGGAATCGTTGCTATCATGATCAAAAATACTGAACATCGTTATCGTCAGAGGTGTCAGGGCAATATTATCAGAAAAGAGGAAATAATGACTCCCTCGATGATGGAACTCAATCCGGAGAAAATAATCGAGAACGCGATGGCGGCCGAAAGGATTCCACGATTGTTTCGTGGCTAATATAGTCATGAGTCAGGATTGCTTGAAGAATCTTATGGAAATATATGCAACAAGTTACGGGATCTTCGGCAACGAGGTACGCTCGCTGGTAGCTCCTAAGCTTATCAAGAACATCGCCCAAATCGAGATCGGAGTCAGATTGAAATTCATCAGAAAGACGGTGTCATATGTGGAGTAAAAGCGGCCATCGAGTTTCATTCGCACTCAAAGTGAGGAATGCAGTCGGTTTCCCGAGTTGACGTATCATAGCGAATAAATCTCTTTTTCTATTCGACCAATATTGAACGGAATCAGGAATCATTCTGAGAAAGGCTTGGTTCGTTTCGATCAATCGTTGAACGAAATCACGATCCTCGATCATTTTGCGAGTCACACTTTCTGTGGGTCTCAAACACTGGTACATATTTTGTATGCCATCCCTGACCCGGAGGCGCAGTATTTTCATGGCCATGTGCAAGAAATATCTCATCGTTCGTCTTAAAATAGTCTATTCATGCTTGAATCTTGAACTTTTCGAGGGTATGCAGGAATCGGCGTCGGAAACCCCTTAGATAATTGTGAGCGCCTGTGGAAAGTCGACCTGAAAGATCTCCCGTAAATTTCCAATCTTTCCTCAGTCGGCCGAATTCCTCTGCGTAGGTGTCATACAGAAGGCTTTCTGGCGCTCTATGCTGACCGGGAGCAATGTCCAAACAGTGATCCTCATTCCAGATCATTGTGTGCTGTAGCGCGTTTCGCATCGCCGAATCCGACTCCGTACTCGAATCAATAATCTCTATGCCATCATCGGAGGCGTCCACAGACTCCTCACTAGGAAGAGAATTCGTTGTTCCTTCGAAATCGATAGTCATGCCTTAATGTTTGTATAAGAGCTGATCTACTAGAAATTCGAGCCAAGCTTTGACAACTGATTTCTTCACGAATCCACTCAGATACGAAGACTTGTGTATGATATTTTTCTTAAGATTTACGTTGAAGGCAAAGTCATCATCGAGAGACCGTGGCAGGAATTGTACCATGGTTTCAACGTCGACGGGTACGTTGATAACTTGACCGACGATACCATAACAGCCATCGCGGCGCAGGCGTCGAATCTGCATGTAAGGCATGCGCGGGGGACAAGACGTTCGGTTAAGGGATCTAATTTTGGTAAATGTGTCGGCTTCGGGGGATACCTGAACCCATTACTCTTGCTCATTGGTGGGGTCTTACCTGTTTAACAAACTTTGAAACAACACAGTTTGGAAACGCTAGTGTCCTCATCGGTGAAAGTATCACTCAGGAAATTCGCCATCCTGTAACTTACCGATTCCAGATCCCCCATGAACCAGAGTCGATCACATACATCACTCGCATGTCTGAACTCATTTTCAAGAAACATCTCCTTGAAACGGTCGCTGGCACGTCTCCAGGCGCTTGCGTATCCCGCACCCCTGTGTGCTCTATCAACTACGTCGGAGCTCGTAAGAAGCCCTTCGTGGGCGCGCTCGCTTTGGGCGGAGAGCCCCGGTCGGAAAGTCTACGGGAATCTCAGCAACATCGCGGTTTTCGACGGCACCTCGAAGACGAGCTCGTCGTGCCCGCGATCGTTCTTTAGATGTTCTCGGCCGTTCCGCGGTACGGTCTGGATCGGCCCCCCCTTGAGAGCTTCCCGCTTCCGCGCCTGGACGCTGCGGGTCTTTGGTCTCATGATCAAATCGATGACCTCAAAAGTTAGAGATCCAAGGAACCTCTAGATGACACTTCGTTATAGTCAATTATCTCGACTGAGCTTTCGGTTCCTCCGTCGATCGTTCTTTGAGTCAGATTTTTCACCTCGTCGGACGACTTCGCTCAATTAGCGTGAACGCCCTCGGTAGATGACATTCTGAGCAACCACTATACGGCTCGTGGACAAGAAATATCTCATCGTTCGTCTTAAAATAGTCTATTCATGCTTGAATCTTGAACTTTTCGAGGGTATGCAGGAATCGGCGTCGGAAACCCCTTAGCCAATTGTGAGCGCCTGTGGAAAGTCGACCTGGAAGATCTCCCGTAAATTTCCAATCTTTCCTCAGTCGGCCGGTGCAGCGGCGCCGCGTATCAACGGAGTTCTAGCGCCGCAAAAAGCCAGGAGATTTCGTTGCATGGAGGACGAAGTTTATTCGTCTGGCTACCCAAGCGATTTTAAAGACGTTTTCACGTCAAAACCACCTGATAACACCATGGATTCAGACGATGCGGAAGAAAGTAGCAACGAAATCTCGGAAGAATCGCGAGACCTTCCCTAGAGGCGCAGGGAGACACCAAAGATCATAAGATACCGCAATTACGATAAGGAAGATTTGCTGAACTACAAGCGTGAGATGGTGATGTTGCATATTCCTTTTCGAAGCGAGCAAATTGAAATTATCGATCGGGATAAATTCCTGGATATATACGACCAGAAAGAAAGAGAAATCATGGAAAAGCGGCTAGAATTAGGATCCGATATCGACATCGATGCTATAATGCAAGAAGTCGAAGCTTTGCGACTGATCGAGGATGGATCCAACGAGAGCAGCCAACCCGACCTCGAGGAGAGAATTTCCAGTGGGAACTTGGCGGCGAACGATGACGACATGCAGGAGTTCATGAACTCAAACTCTATGAGTGCGGTGCGACGACGGGATAATGTCATGTGTAAAGCAGACTATTGCGCTCTAATGAGACAAACAAATGCCGAACAACGCGAGTTGATTTTAGAGGTCATTCATCGCTTGCACGAACCAGAACGAAAACCGATCCAAGTTTTCCTCACCGGACCAGCGGGTTGTGGAAAGACTTTCACTCTCAAAGCATTAATGGAAACTTACAACCGATACACTCAGCAACACAATTCTTTGAACAACGCATATATTGCGACGGCGACAACCGGAAAGGCAGCGGTCGCTCACGGTGCACTCTGCCTTTCATCTCACCATTTCCAAACAAATTCTAGATCTTCCCTCCGAAACAGTGCAAACCTATCGTCATATACTCAGAAATGTGAAGTGTGTCATTATCGACGAAATCAGTATGTGCGGTACACACCTCTTCCATGCAGTCAATTCTCGTCTGCAGAAAATGACCGGAGAATTCGACATGAATTTCGGGGGGCTGGATCTATTCGCATGCGGGGATTTGAAACAACTGCCGCCCGTCAATGCTGCCCCAGTCTCCACTGTAAATCTAGACACCGGAGAAACACATATGATTCAATCAAGATTCAGGTCACGCGATAGGTGCAGTTCTAATCTATCTAAACATGTGGTACGGCTATACTTCAATGACGCTGATGTAGAGCAATACAATACGAGCGCCATTCCGGACGGTGGGTCAACCGAAAACTTGACCGCGCTTGATTCGTGTACGGGGTACAGCACGGGAACTGAGAGGAGAGAAGCTGTCAGTAAACTACATCGCATGAAAGCGAGAGATACAGGGAATTTGCTTTACGTTATCAGATTTTGCGTAGGCTACCCCTACATGCTGACCACGAACGTCGATGTAGAAGATGGTCTTGTCAACGGAGCTATAGGCACTTTGCGTTACATCGAAGACTACGAGTGTTTACGTACTGAAATCCCGTGTAAACGAGTTTGGCTAGAATTCGAGAGCGATTACATAGGTCGTAAGATAAAGATTGAATATAGAGCACACGTACATTGCAAGCACGGAATCCTCGACGAAAGATGGGTTCCGATCGAGCTGCGTTCGGCCAACGTGAACATCACGAAGAGCATAAAGTGTCGACGCCTACAATTCCCGTTGTCCCCCGCGTGTGCGTTGACAATACACAAATTGCAGGGCGGAACTTTCACTCAAATCGTGTACGATTACCACAAGAATCATAAACAGCAACTTGTTTATGTGGCTCTGAGCAGAGTAACATGTCTGGACGGGCTCTTCCTGACCAACACCAATGATGACTTTACATTCTATCATGCGCGGAGTCAAACGAGTCCATCTATCGACGCAACTCAAATTGAATATCAAAGATTGGCTACACATCGCCTGCCGACTATCACCTCGGATCTCACAGAGTTTCTCGATTCGGTTCACGAAGACGGATCATCTTTCGTCGCGCTTAATCTCAACGTGCAGAGTCTAGATGCCCTTGACGTATCCAGTGATCCGATTTTATCACGATCGGACATCATGACGTTGACAGAGACATGGACGCAACCGGGAGCCCCGGCCGTCGAGCTCGATGGTTTCACACCGATTCTCAACAGTTCATGTGCGAAAAGAAGTGGCGGAGTTTGCATCTACAAGCGGAACAACGTCGTTCTTGAAGCTTATCCATTGAACGTCGCAAGGCAATCAGAAACACCGGAAGAGTCGCACAAAGTAGACATAGGAGCAGTCAAAATAAGACTACACGGAGACAACGAGCTCATTCTCATCGCACTTTATGTGCACCAGCAAACAGCCTACAAGGATCTAAAAAGTGTTCTGACGAAATTGTTATGTCCATATAAGAGGAATGGAGGAGATATCGTCACACCTCTGATTGTGATGGGAGACTTCAATTTGAGAGAGAATGAGCGTTCGAAAATCGAAAAATATTTCGACAAACATTACGCATTGCGAGCTGGATATAATCCATCAGAGAACACGACTCTTGGGAACACATGCATCGATTTGACCTTCTATCGACATATGGATCTGTGCAGCAGGAGATATATCGCCTACTTCACTTACCATCGCCCAATTTCCCACGTACTCAAAGTGAGATAGGCATCCCACTTCCGAAAGTAGGACGTTTTCTCTGTAGTACGGAAATTACAAGCATATCAGACGAAACACAAACCCCGAGAACACGAAAAGTTCTCGAAAATCGAGACGACATCCTATAAAACAGGGCAGAAAAATTGAGTATGTCATTCGGTTAAAACGACGAAGACCGAACGCATAACGAAATGTCGAAGCCAACACCTAAGGCTTCGGGGTCGAAAAGTGCAACTCCACAGAAAAGGAAAAAGGGCAAGTACATACTTGATTACTGAAGTACAGATAAACATTACTCATTCTCACTTTGCACCGCAAGCCATTATCCCGACAATGGGTTCGACTAACTTGAACGAACCCTAGAACTAGAACCGAACAAGAACGATGCCACGCCCGCCAAGCATCCGAAGCTAATAAAAGATCTGTCACTCGAGAGAGTGGGAGGAATGATACAAGGGAGGGTGGAATCGGAATCCCCGATCAGATCCTGGTCCCGAGAAGGAGCCGAAGGGATTATATTCTCCTTTATTGTGAACGACTCTTCCTCGGATATCAATGTGGTCGCTTCCGGAGAGATCTGCGCCGAGCTCCACGAAAAAATAAGCGTCGGGAAATGCTACGTTATTTCGGCCTTCAAACTAAAGAAAATCAATCCACAATACAACATCACGAGCCATCAACTCGAAATTCAACTCACTAAGGTACTTCAAGCTCACTCAAACCGCTCTCGGATATGAACAAACATCCACACACAGATGACGGTGGATATCAACACCGACGCCTAGTTGCTAATCGCTTATTCCAGATCTCGAAAGTGACCGAAATCATTGGCATCAACTTGCCCGAAAACACCACCAACTTCATAACACTCGCCGAAATCGGAAGTTCGGCAGTAAATTCCATGGTCGATATCCTGGGCATTATCCACGAAGTGGCGGACGAGCAAAATTTCATGTGCCGCGACGGAACGTCTCGGAAGAAAAAGAACGTTCGCATCGTAGACGATACGAAAAAAATTGTCACGTTGAGTCTCTGGTCCGAGCATGCCGACATTTTGAACGGAATGGAGAGCCAATGCGTATCGATCCACAACGTAGTGATTCGTGTCTTCAACATGAAAAAAGTCCTCACGACGACGAGCAGTACGTCAGCAAAACTAGCAGTGATTACCGCCGACTCCGAAAGGCTACAAAAATGGTGGAATGAGGAAGGTCAGGATGAAGAGTTCGATGAGATACAAGCCGCGTCCAACGACTCTCCACCCAACGATGTTGAACACCGATCAAGAGACTAAACGCCGTGGGCTATCTCTCGAATAAATAATTTTTGTCTCTACATTATGCTTCCGATTTAATGAAAAACATTAGTCGTCAAGACGTTTTCACGTGAACCTACGGTAATGTCATTGACGGCCTGGCTTCGTTTTTTGCATTGTGGGATGAGATTCGAGCTCTTCATGGGAACGATCTCGACTCTACACCCCAGGATATGAGATATTCCATATATTCTCTCGATATCGTCTTTGTTTTCGAATGTCAGCAAGAACATATTCAGCGGCCTCTTGTCTCTCCACGACAGCTTGTTCTCTGCCGATATCATGTTCAGTCCCAGATTCTTCAAATGGGTTTCGATGCTCGACTTACTGCATGTATTATATGACTCGGTATCGCTAGACTCACTACACATGCGCTAGCTCCGAAAAGCGCTGGCTCCGAGTGCGCTTGCTTTGGTCGCGCGTGCTCTGGGTGCGCGTCCCGTTACCCCGCTTTCCCGTTTCCCTGCTTCCCCGTTTCCCAGCTTCCCCGTTTCCCCGCTTTCCCATTTCCTCGCTTTCCCTTTTTCCCGCTTTCCCGTTTC